TCGAAGTTTGTGATTCATCAGCTATTTTATCTGTAGTCTCAAGTAATTTTCATTCCTGTCAAATTGAAACCTGAAAACCTATAGTTCCATTTCTGATAGCATCATGGGAAGCTCACTACTATTGAAGAGTAACAAATTAGGAAGAATCAGTTGACAATTCAACTGTTTTTTTTTTCCAATCAGTCCTTCAATACTCAGAGAATTTATGTTTTGAAAAGTTTGTACTGAATATCTTTAAATATTGTGAATTTATATTTAATACTGAAAGATACAACAGATTTTAAATACCTCCAGATAATTGACAGTTATACCACAATAAATATAAATCAGTTTAGTCCAATTCTATCATCAAGTGTCGACTGACACACAAAAAAATCACAAATTATAATTTTGTTCAACTGGTTCTGTTGTGAGATAGTAACTCATTTAAGACAATGATGAATGGTGGTGCAATTTCGTGAATTAGTTGAAGTTAGACATGGATGCTAGCCAGCTCAGTAGTTTAGAAGTTAAGCATTCGCGCGTGATACTGATAGGTCCTGGGTTTGAATCTCATGAGGGAGGATCGTGGATACATACTGTAGAAAAGAGTACTATACTAGGATGAATCGGCCGTTCAGTCCGTCCAAATTTTCCATTATGGTCTAGTTTCAATTGACTCATGTATTCAATTATTTAATTTACTACAATCTCCATTTAAAAAAAACCACCTCTCTGATCATAATTTTAACTTGAATCATATGAATTTTCTTAAACACAAATCTTATTATTCATCTTACTCTGTCATTGTACAAATTCCAAAATAGTTTCAAAAATGTAAAGATAATCAATTTTATTCAATAATCAATTATTGTTTTTAATATTGAATTAGTTTAATTACCTTGACAACAATCTTTGTAAAATTAAACAAATCACAAATGTACTTCGATCTTTCGAAACGAGTAGGTTTAGTTGTTTGTTTTTTTTTTTCGCTTATATAATTCAATGTAAATTAGAAACTTCAAATATATATAGATATATATATATACTTGGATAGAGATATAAACTGAAATTTAGATCAATCTACAATATGTCACGTATAGACGCTTTGTATGTTTATGTATGTGTGTATACGGTCTGTGTATATAATAACACTTTACAGGATTGTAAGCAAACTTACTTAAATCAATTCAGTCAGTCAGTTAGTCAGTCATCAATCAATCATTCAGCTGAGGTTATAGTTAATCACAACACAGCCTTTAAAATTAACCAAGACCTAAAAACTATATCTCATTTTAAAAATCTTCACCCCTTTCAACAACATACTGCCTACGCGTTTAATTTATATGTTGGTTGCATACACTCCTGAAAAAAAAAACAACTCGTGCATACATACAACTTATACACTTTGAAAATAACATACATACATGCATACATACATACACACAATATACATACAATAGGTCTACATTTTTAATCCAGATCTGTTGATATACCTCTTTTCAGCACATCATGTGATTCCTATTAGACATTGTTATTACCATTATTATTATTATTATTATTATTATTATTATTATTATTATTATTATTATTATTATTGTTATGCTTTCCCTTCAACCAAGCATATGACTCCAGATCGATACCTTCATTCTTTTTTTTTTCTAAATCTGCATACATATATATCTACACAATACTACATATATATCATAGAGGCATCGAAATATTTCTTCTTCAATATTAAACCGTCACCTCATTATTGGACAAGACTTAATGATTATTATTTTTTTTGTTTTCTTTCTACTGGAAACCCTTCCCTTCCAATAATAGAATTCCTATTTTAGCATCACTTGAATAGATTTTCTCTACCTTGTATTAGTAGTCGTAGTGATAATAATAATAATAATAATAATAATAATAATAATAATAATAATAATAATAATAATACTAACTGTAATAATATTAATCATGTTTCTTTATTTGATTGAATTTATAAATAAGAAAAAGAAAAAAGAAGGTTCATGTTACAGATACACATAAGCAGATGGTGTATTAACATAATAACATTGATATTTTTGTATTGATGTTCTGTATCTTAAATTGTAACCAATTGATGAAATTACTTTTTTTTTCAGCGATTTCTTTTGTGTATGCTACATATGTCTGTTTTATTTTTCCATTTATGTTTTTTTTGGGGAGGGGGGGCTCTTTCAACAACAACAACAACAACAACATCGACAGCAATAGCAACAACGAAAAGGAAGAAGAAAAGAAAAGAAAAGAAAAGAAAAGAAAAATCAATTGAACAATTCATTAATCAACCAATAAACATTCAATCTTTCATTTATCAATTAATTATTCATACAGTTTTTTAATCAATGATTTGGAATAGACAATAAATGAATGAACTAGTTTATATTCATTAATGGATGTATTTCAATAAAGGATTGATAAACTTATTCCATTCAAAAAAGAAAAAAGAGAGAAAAAAGTAGAGAGAAAGAAAGAAAGAAGATAAAGATAATATATGATCAAGCATGGGAATTAGTCATCTGGTGGTAAATTATAATATTGACCTAAATCCATTAATTAACAAATCAAATTGAATGGTAATAAATGGATCTATATTATTATTATTATTATTATTATTATTTTTTTTTTTTTTTTTTTTTTTTTTTGGTTAGATTACATGTTCTTCTCTAGAATGTATAACACTCATTTTACCAGGTGACTTATGAAGCTTAGTTCTTCACAAACTTGAAGAACTGGTTATCGATTAACTTGATTCTCTCACTGAATCAAATTATATTTGGGGAATCCCTGAAGACGTGGTAAGATTTTAATAACCTTTCTAAGCTTCTAAGAAGTTCAGTCCTTCATGATTCCAGATAGAATGAAACTCAAAATCTATTCAAATCATTGATGTATATTGTTAACTGTTACCAGACAATTTTGTCATTATTATTAATAACAATATGATTTGATTATAAAAAAAAAAACAAGAACATAATGATTGATTATTAATTTCTGTTTTTGGATTGAATATTTACTTGAATACTTACTTAAGCCTGTTACTCCTAATGAAGTATAGCCCGTCGACTAGCATTCTTCAACCTACTCTGTCCTGGGCTTTCCTTTCTAGTTCTATTCAATTTTTGTTCATTTTTCTCATTTCGTGTAATCTCACTTAAAAACCATGTTGGTTTCACTGTGTGATGGTACAAAGAAAAAAAAACTTTTTATTGCCAATCCTTAATGAATTAAACATCAAATAAAGTTAATGCCTATATAACTATTCCAAAGACCGATACTAGCTATCATTGTTTCTTGGTTTTTGAACAAGTCGTTATCATGACTAGATGGGATAATATACTTTTGAATAGTATGTAAATAATACGTAAAATAAATTAAACTAACTCAAACTAGAACTATGAGATTACTTATTCGTTTTATCGGTGAATAATAAATATATATTAATTTCAATGGTTAAAATCATGAGTCAATTGAAGCTAGACCACTATGGAAAACCTGGAAGCATTGGACAGCCGTTTCGTCCTATTATGGGACTCCTCAGCAGTGCGCATCCACGACCTCGCCCCCTGTGAGATTCGAACCCAGGACTTACTGATTTACGTGCGCGAGCACTTAACCACTAGACCACTGAGCCAGCCGGCATCCAACGATGTTAATGTCTAACCAACTAATCCACAAAATACATATTAACTGAACCCCATGTCTAGATCAGTAGATATCATATTATATGAATATTTTCTGTTTAGTCTTGTATGAAATAGTTAATGGTTAACAGTAAAGACTTTCTAAATGTCACATGATCAGTTTCCAATATTCTATGTTTTTCACTGAATGAAATAAACCATCAGATAAATCAGTCAACTTCACGTAAATATCATAAATGTATAATTTGTTTATCTAAATAATTTTAAGTATTTCAACTAACAAGTCAAATTATTCCCTAATTACTGGATAAATACACATTTTAAGACATTGTGTGTGTGTAAACACTAGAGGTGAATTGTTATTCCCTTATTTAGGTAGTTCAATGAATTGGTAATCTAGTTTATTTACTAATTCTAAAAAATGTATATAACTGAGATGAGATATTATTCATGCATAAAGTAACATTATTTACACAAACTTATATTTATGTCAAAAGGGGTTTTTGTGAATATTATAGGAATTTCAATAGTTGAGATCATGAGTCATAGATGCTTGCTCAGTGGTCTAGTAGTTAAGCGTTCACACGCGAGACCGATAGGTCATGGGTTCGAATCTCGAATCTCGTGAAGAGGGATCGTGGAAGCACACTGCTGAGGAGTCCCACAATAGGACGAAATAGTCGTCCAGTGCTTCCAAGTTTTCCGTAGTGGTCTAGTTTCAACTGACTGATGATCACAACTATTAATATATATGTGTATGTTTGATGATGAAACGTATACTGACGATGTTATAATGAACAATAAAAGCCTTAACATCAAACCGTCTAGTTCAGGAAACGAAATTCCATTGAAATCATACGCCTGTACCATAAATCTTCTATAACATCTTATGATGAGTTTGCAGAAGCAATCAATGTAAAACTTTTTCTATTTATTTGGATTCGGAGAGTATTTATTTGATTAATTGATGATTTTTCATATATTTTGTTCTCTCCATTATTTTGAAAAGAACAAATACAACAAAATTAATGGGATAAAATTTAAAAACATTCGGTTTTGAAAGCTTAGACACTCAATTTCCCTACCAGTTCCTCGTCCACTGTTGAGATGATCCAGAAAAGTTCTCGCAAAAGACACACAAAGATCAGGAAACATTAAGAAGCATTTCATCCAATCAGCGTTCACTTGGAGTTTAGCCAGAAACATCAAGGATGTGAAACGTCACATGTAGAGGTTCTGATTGGTTGATTGTTATACGGCTACTATGTTTAGTTGCATTCCAGAATCTTCGAGCAACCCAAGGACATTTAGAATATTATAAAAACCCTCTGTTTTCTGTATTAAAATGAACGTTGGAGTAAAGTACTTTTCGCATACTTTGCTCCTTCTCTCTCGTGTTCAGGTCGCTGTATAGTTCTAGCTTGGGGGTTTCAGAATAGCTTAGGAAACGAGTATAGCGTTCAAAATCGCAAGACTTATCAGTGGCGACGAGGATGACTACAATGAATATTTCTTTGGAGCAGCTAGATGCTTATATGGAGCGTCAAGAAAAGAGGTTTGAACAATCCCAAATCAGAATCATGGAAGCCCTGATGCAGAAATTTTGCCTGTCCCAGCAAAACCCTGCTTCTAGTGAATCACAAGTATCTCATACTGATTCAGTTATTAATGACATCCGTGAATTTAATTTTGATGGTGCAGCAGGTGTAACTTTTGATTCTTGGTTTAAGAAATATGAAGATTTATTCTATATTGATCTCTGCAAACTTGATGACGCTTCAAAAGTCAGAATACTTCTAAGAAAACTTGGGACAATGGAATATGAACGCTATAGTAATTTTATTCTCCCGAAGAATCCACGAGACTTTAGTTTTGATGAAACAATTAAAACCCTGTCTCAAATCTTTGGAGAACAATCATCTCTATTTAATATCCGTTATCAATGCTTGAAGATAACAAAAGAACCAGGAGATGACTGGGTGAAGCATGCAGGAATTGTGAACCGAGAATGTGAGAGGTTCAAATTATCTTCCATGACCGAAGACCAGTTTAAATGTCTAGTATTTGTCTTTAGCCTGCATTCACCCGAGGATGCTGACATCCGAACAAGGATCCTAAGCAAACTCGAACATTATCCCAACATGACCCTGCAAGAAGTAGCGACCGAATGTCAAAGGTTAGTGAATTTAAAGCATGATACCTCGTTGGTAGAGAACGGTGACCGGTTCCTTCATGTCCATGCAGTCGAGAAAAATGTCTCACAAGGTTCCAGCACGCAGAATGATCGTAATCACAACGAAAAACCATCATCCCCATGCTGGTTATGTGGCGGTTGGCACTTCAAAAGGTTTTGTCTGTTTAAAAATCATCGTTGTACTATGTGTTCCAGAAAAGGGCACAAAGAAAGTCATTGCAAAAACCGAAAACGCCGTCAACAGAAAAAGTATCCTAAAAGATTCAAGACACAAACAGCTAAAGTAACAGTAGCTCTTCACAAAGCCGGCTCCCATCACCGTAGAAAGTATGTTTCTCTCAAGATTAATGGGTATGATGCCCGCTTACAGTTAGACACAGTCTCCGATATAACGCTTATAAGCAGGAGAACGTGGGTGAAAATTGGGAGACCGAGAATATATCCAACTCTTCAATCAATACATAGTGCGTCTGGGGGAATTCTAAACATTGCAGGTGAAATTCATTGTGAAGTCACGGTCAAAGAGTTTACGGAGAAGGGCGTAATATTTCTAACAGACCGTCCATCACTCGACTTATTGGGGCTTGATTGGATAGAAAAGTTGAAGTTAACAGACCGCCCCATAGACTCGATCTGCAACAACGTCAGTACGTCGAAAGTTGAGAAGGACACATTTAAAAGAGCACTACTGAAAGGGGAAGGAGAGGGGACAAGTCAGCCTAACTCTATTGTCCCAGAAGGAAAATCCCCTGCTGAAGTGATGTTCGGGAAAAGCATCCGAACTACATTCGACGTCATGTTATCACCTAAACAAATGGATGGATGCAAACAAAATCAGAATATCCGTAGTTTTAATGTCGGTGATAAAGTGCTCGTCAAATCATACATTGGGAAAAGTCGCTGGGAACCGGGAGTCATTGAGAAGAGAATGGGGAATGTTTTATACAAAGTGCGTGGGACTTTCGGAATGTGTATTAAACACATTAGTCAAATACGCAGAGAAAAACGACTCTAGACACGGTAGATAGTCAAGTGAGGCTTCCGCTAATTACAGATACTCCAATGACAGGAACCCCAACAGACATTCATAGACGCTGGATACCAAGAAAGTCCCAACGCCGCAGAAAACCAGTTATCAAGCTGCAAGTAGACCCGAAGAAGAGGTCTCATTTTTTGAAAGGGGGAGGTGTTGGGATGATCCAGAAAAGTTCTCGCAAAAGACACATGAGGACCAGGAAACATTAAGAAGCATTTCATTCAATCAGCGTTCACTTGGAGTTTAGCCAGAAACATCAAGGATGTGAAACGTCACATGTAGAGGTTCTGATTGGTTGATTGTTATACGGCTACTATGTTTAGTTGCATTCCAGAATCTTCGAGCAACCCAAGGACATTTAGAATATTATAAAAACCCTCTGTTTTCTGTATTAAAATGAACGTTGGAGTAAAGTACTTTTCGCATACTTTGCTCCTTCTCTCTCGTGTTCAGGTCGCTGTATAGTTCTAGCTTGGGGGTTTCAGAATAGCTTAGGAATCGAGTATAGCGTTCAAAATCGCAAGACTTATCATCCACAGAGGTCCGTTACTCTTGAATCCCGAACAAAAATCTGAAAATCAACAAACAAAGGACTCATTGGTTCAAAACTGAGAAGATACACAGAAATCGGGGTATTTATGAAATTATGTATGACGCTGAGGTTCCAGAATCTTTTGGGAAACAAAATTTGTTGTTTTTTCGATCAGCATAAGGAAAATTTACTCCTCCGTTTCCTAGATTTATCTTGAAAGTTTCCGGAAAATTTTGGTTCGTTTAAGTTTTTTTCAGTATTTTCTGGAGACCGTTCCCAGGAATAATCAAAGACGATCAATAAAAATCATTCATCATCAAGGTGCATCTTCAAGCTTGAAACTCTCTAAGGGACTTGAATGTCAGTAAACCAGTTTAAAAATCGAATACTTTACCACCAAGCTATTCAGGTCACAAATGGCTTCTTGGTGGATTGAGATATTTACGCTAATTGATTTCTGAGTGCTCAATGTCAATGTTAATGTAACACTAGAACTTTGTGAGTAGAAAGCTTTCTGATAACGTAATATCTGATTAGTGATAACTTTCACTCTAATTAATTGGTACACGTTATAGTTAAAGTAAGTTTCAGGAGAAACCGATGTGTGAGACAAACTGATATAAATAAGAACAAAGGGAATGTGAGTCAACCTCTGAGAAAACTACCACAGAATGCAATCAATAACAATTAGAGTAGTGATATGAGAATTAGATCAATATAATTTGGTAAATAAAGCTTTAAATCAGTTGAGTAAGTTTTTTGAATGCGTTACGATAGTAACTATGCTTCCTAAAAAGATTAATGGATGTATAATCATTTAAAATATTTACCAGAACATTTACATTGAATGGCCTCAACACTACCTAACACTTGAATGTATCTAACCCTCAATCAACAATGTATGAAATTTCCGAAATTTCTGATTAAATCTAGGTTGGACCAGACAGTGTTTAAATTTAAATACTAGTCAACCTATTTAAAGGTCGCCATGACAACACTATATAGTTTATACTATTGGCTGACTTAAGCTAAACAAACATTGGAAACCAATAGAGAGCTGCAAATCCGTTTCGTAATCATGTCAAAATCCACTACAGTGCACGCCTCTAACTGCCATTATTATTATTATTATTATTATTATTATTATTATTATAATATTTTTATTAAACTAGGACCTTCAGGATAAAAGGAATACATTGTACTGGGAATCAGAGGCAGACATGAAAAGAATGAATAGCAGTTGGCAACAGTTGGAAAGGAGAGCCATGGGCAGAGTTGGTTGGAGATCCGTGGTCAGCGATCTATAGAGCACCAGGGGTAACAAACATAAATAAGTAATGTAAGTTAAGACTTTCAGGTTTTGTACAATCCATGGTACCATTTAGACCATTAGATTATACCTAGTACTTAACATTTCCAACATCATTCAATTCGTGAATACCCACTGCCGTTGAGGATAATATACTGTTTCGAAATAGTCATCTAATACATCTGGACTAATAATAATTTTCTAGCTAACTTAGCGCCTAGCCCATATCTGTATTAGCCTAATTTACAATATCATATCAATTCAACAAGACGAAAACTAACAAATTTAACACCAAAATAGTAGGAATAAGTGTTGTAGTAATGATAACTAGAAAAAGTGGACATTTAGAGTATGGTTTGAGTAGAAGGAATGAAAATGAATGAATGGAAGAATATTGAAAGTCAGTATCAACAAGAAGTTAATGTGAGAATAAACCTGATTCGGTGCTACCGATTCCGATTCATGTCATCAAACATTTTCAACCACTGATCACTCAGACTCCAACCAAGTAGTCTTCATCTACCAATATAACTTTTAATAACAATCACAGATTCTATAGACTGATATCACATATTGATTATTCTCTCCTAGTTTTCTTCCAATCTATTAGATCCAACACTGAGAATCAAGGCTGGAATATGAATTATATATATTCAAATAACTCGATGAAGTTTCACAGCCGCATCAGTCGATTTCTCATTCTTGCTCAGTATCCTATATCTAACCACAGTATTGTAAAGTCATCCCATTGTGTAAATTAACAATCAAAACTGAATCCACACCTTAATAATGGTAACTGAGTTAGAATCAGAAACATGCACACATATATGTAAATGGTCACTGTAGGTATTAACTCAGTGTTAAAAAATACAGACACGTTATTCTAGATAGCAGAAATCAAACAAAAAGTGTTTCCGATGTAGAAAATTCAATATTTTCTACTGACAAAGTGACATAATCATCATTAGCAACATATACACAAAGAATTAACTGCTGTACTGTATTGAGAATCGATACCAAAAATTTCAAAAAAACACCAGTATTACCGACATGTGACAATACCAGCACCACGTTTCTGTCTTTATGACTAATTGACGGAAAAATTACACGAATTACATGCTTCTATCTTATTTATGATTGAAGCATCTTAGTATATATCATATGTACTGAAATACAATACACTATATACTACAATACCAACCAATAATTAATCAATATACGTGATCAACATACTGTCGTGAATGTCTAGTTTAATCTTGTACCTTTTCTAAACAGAAGTAAATCATATGTAAACTAGAAGCATGAATATTAGAGCACATCTTATGCTAGGTGGAAATCAATACAATATTACATATCATGATTGTTGTTAAGTTGTCAGTAATAAACAACACAAACAAGGAACCGATGTTTGATTGATTACTTGGAACCCTATTATCTACCTTCATCTATGTCAATCAATAGATAATGAACAGTCAGGTAATATCGTATATTAATACCATTTGAAGATACGAAACGCTAAATTCCATTTTGGTGATCGATAGGCTATAAATTAGCTATGAAATCTAAAGGCTTGGGTTCAATCCCTGCCAGGAATTGAACGAAATAGATATCTCGGGTGTCGTGCCTTGCAATGATTGTGTAGTTAAAATCAACCCATGATATAAACAATACCATAAAAGTTATATTTTAACCTAAGAGATACAACCAGGTGAGTTGTGACTTTATTAATTTTTCCAATGTTGCAAGCCCTGTTTTGACAAGGAGGAATCTGGTGATAGTTCGGATACCAGACATCTAATACACTTTATCAAAATAAGCTGTTCATAACCTGATGATCGCCGATGAATATGAAGCTAGTATTGATCGAAATGCGGTGGTATATACGTTCCAGTGCTGAAAAAATAAACAGATGATAAGAATCCATCTATTATGGCGGATGGAGCTGATATTAGAACAAGGATTTGACATGTTCAATTTAAGTTATCAAAATAGAGCTGTTACCCTAAACTAAGCAAATGTCTATTGTTTCCTGATTTCCAACGGCTTCCCTGAAGATGCTAGTTTATGACGAGAATTATCCTAACAATATATATAAAAATGTTAGTAACGGATTTTCAGTTAATCTTTCATGCTTACCGACTGATAAAAAATACACGCCACACCCTCACATGACATAAAAACGTAAACCTAGAGGTCTTTTAGTTAACACAACACCATGATATCATTGAGTGGTCATTGGTGTACATTCACCAATTGTAGTTAAATTTTGTGATCATCCTAAATGAATGCTATTAGTAAATATTATATTTCGCTTTTGACTTGTCTAACCCCACCAATGTTTTGATTTCCAGTAGAACTTTGAGTAAACCTTCTTTATCACGTGAGTCAATAGTTTGAACATGCATGTTATCTCTATCTTAGTCTATCAGTTATAAAAATAATAGATTTGTCCTGATACATATTTGGCACACCACATCAGTACGAAAAAAGAAGAAAGTAATAAGGTACGAACCAACGAATTAGATATCACAGAATCTGCATCTAACTTGTCACATTTACTCTTGTAGACCAAGGTACACCAGTCGTAATCGGTGTTTGTTTTCAATGCGGATACAAGAACATACTTCATTATGATTCGACAAGGGTTACAGGAAAGCTATTACACAACTTGATAGTAAAATGGGGCAAAAAGGCAGTGTTTCTTTCTCAATTTTTTCAATATTTAATATCAAAATAACTTATAATCCCAATTGATTGATCACTGGGGGGCGATCATTGTCATGTGTGTCAAGTCCTTATTAGTGAAGATCGAATGCTATCGAACAAGTTGCAGTGTGGCCACCAATCTAGATGACTTACCATTATGTGGATTGTCCTGAGATAAGATGGTGGTTGGATGTAATTGGCAGGAAACCTTGGACCTAGGTCTCTTGCTACTTGGCACTTTGTCAGTAAGGTGTATTTGTAATCTGGAGGGAACTGGTTCTCCCTGACGGATTCGACTCCGTGTCACTCAGCTTCACAGCCAGAGACGTTACCACTGAACTATCCAGGGTTTCCTGTTGACTATCTCCAACCACCATCTAATCTCACAATAGTGCATGCAGTGTCGAGCCACCTAGACTGGTGGTCACATTGCAACATGATCGATAGCGTTCGATCTGCACTAATAAGGACTTGACACCCATCACATTGATCACCACCCAGTAATGAAACAATTGTAATTACATCTCCGTCCTACAGGATGTCGGTTGCGGCCAGCATATCTCAGTGGTAGCGTTCCTGACTGTGAAGCTGGGTGACACGGGATCGAATCCGTCAGGGAGAACCAGTTCCCTCCAGATTACAAATACACCTTACTGACAAGTGCCAAGTAGCAAGAGACCTAGGTTCAAGGTTTCCCGCCAATTACATCCAACCACCATCTAAAATAACTTATAACCCATTTACAATTGCTTCTAAATACATACGCCTCGCATTCAGAATTATTCAATCATAACAAACATGAAACAAGAAAGTTCAATTGGAATGTTTGTACAGTTAAAAAGTAGATGATTCAAACGTATAAGCAAGCCATAGTGTATAAATATTAAAACTCAAGGTGTGTGTGTGTGTAGTGAAATGCATAGAATAAATATAACTCCACTTCTGTCATCAATTTTGAGTCATGTTACCTGTGTTGTAAAACTACTGTGGACTGTTATTTAGCTGGTAATAGGTTACTTTATCCCACTGCTACTATTTTGATTAGAAATTAATCAGTCTTAGTGGTTATATGTGCATCCTGTGCGGATTACCTCTATATCAACCAATAAGATACAAGTTCATATAGAATAGATGCAAGGTGAATATTAGTGGAAACCAGGACTTGTGTCATAATGATTATGTCGAGGTAATCTGAACAGGATGCATATATAACAACTATGAATGATCACATTTCAGTCAAAATATCAACAAAGGGATAATCCAAAACCATTTCGAATTGAATTAAAACTCACGTACATTATACAAGTAAGTACTTATTTAGATTCAGTAGCTAAGTGGATAACGTGATGGAATTTGAAATGAAAAGTACTGGATTCAAATCTTGAAACGAATGTCGATTACGAGATACAAAAACATTCGTCTGATCAGTTCCAAACGAGATGAAATACTAGTCACATTTCATTTATTTTATATAAGTATTACAAACTCTGTCCATATAGTCTACACCAGCCGAAACAACTAAGTTCGGTAGAATATATTAGATGTAGCTAGCATTAGGATCCAGAATATACATTTCGACCTGTTTAAGACTCTTTAGCTAAATATTCTTTCATCCATTTTCAAATTAAGTTAAAACATATAATTTTAATTCATTAACATAAAACACATCACCATGTATTTTTATCTCAACAATTCATGTTAAAAACACAATGAAAGTGTCTTCAATGTAGCAGCAATATAAATCAAGCTTCTTAATAGTCTCATTAAGAGGTCCATTTTCTAGCTTTGTTAAAAAGTGATCAGCTAAAATCGGGCCTAGATGTGAGCCCATGACTATCCCGTCTATTTATGTCTATAATAAGTATTGTTGAAGACAAAATAGACATTCAGCGTGCATCATCAACACAATAAACAATTCCAAATAATAGCATAGATGTATATACACAATTACTCACAAACACACACACACACACACACATAATCAATCAATCAAATGATACAAATAACAATGTATCTATTCATGAGAAAACTCAATAGGAATTTTTGTATACCTAACTGTATCGTTTTCTTATCACACATGCTTATTATTTTTTTTTTATTGTTTCATGCATAAAATCAATTT